ACGTCAGTCAACTGGCAAATGTAGTTGTCTTCATTCACTCTTAAATTAATAGTTTAAACTAAAACTGTCATTGCTCATCCAATCACCCCTGGTTCATTTTGTATTCATATAAACAAGTATTTTACCACGTCCTTGTGTGTCTTATTGTTTGCTTTAACGGTTAGAAGTCATGTTTACAGATGGTTCGTGGACTACAAATCCCAGACAACACAGAGCGCCATTGCCTGTGTGAAGGGGAGAGGAGACTCCTTTCAGAAACATTCTTCTTTACCCAGCTGTCTGTTGGGGCGATACATATTAACTGCATTTCTTACTGATGCCGATAACATCTTTGTTTCCTCGCATTTCAGAGCAAGAATTTTGTTTTCTTTTTTAATCTGGCTCTGGTGACGAGTGTTACCTACTCGCACACTCGGTAAACTCGTCTTCAGCTGCTCCGTAAGGTACAGCTTGTTAGCTGGTTTACATTAGCCAGCAGCTACCAGTAGATTTACGGCTTATATCCGTGGCTGCGCTTCCAGGTAGATCAACTAAAGAGGCGCTGCTCAGCCACAATGGTTTGGTCATTTCACCAAATCCAGGGTAATGACATTGGTGAATATTTCATCTAATTTGAGGAAACATCAACGCAACCTTTGTTTGACAGCGCAACCCGTCTGCTTTGGCCTGTTTCATTGTCTGCGAACATCGAAAACAACCTAGTGGGTTTTTTTTCATTGTCAGTGGGTTGTTGGCCAACTCAGCCGTGTTCGTGTAAACACAGCAGTCAGCTGTTGACTCCAGATTATACCACAGGCCAGCTATCTATTCCGGTATGGCACAACACGACCACTGTCATGTAGCTAGTTCACAGAAAGCACTCATGTTGGAGATGAAGAGCCTTCAGGAGGAGCCTGTGGAGGGATTCAAAATCACACTGGTGGACGAGGCTGATATGTACAACTGGGAAGTGGCCATTTTCGGACCCCCAAACACTCATTATGAAGGGGGGTATTTTAAGGTAAGAATTCTCCACCAACGTGAGACATTGTCTTTGTCGAATTAACAGGTCATTAAAACATTTACATATAGCACATACAAAACACTTAGAGTAGGAATTGTTAAAATAATACAACTTTATAGATAAATCTACAAACAAAATATAACTTCCCCACATGCATGACAGCAGCCCCAAGTTAAAATGCGGAAGGAACTCTTAAAAAGAAGAAAAAAACATGTATTGACAACTGCCATTATTTCAGTTTTTAGCCCCAAGGAAGACCTACAGCAGTTGAAACCTTTTTTAATGATTTAGCAACAACAACAATAAAACCTTTTTTAATAATAAATGTTTTTGTTTTGAATTTAGCACCTGAAACATCTATGATTTACCAACAGATATACACATGTCATGCGTTATATTGTAGTGATGTAACTGTGCATTGTTACATGTAAATGACCTGCTGTGTATCCCTCTCAGGCTCGGATCAAGTTTCCCATCGACTACCCATACTCTCCACCTGCCTTCCGCTTCCTCACCAAGATGTGGCACCCCAACATCTATGAGGTGACTTATCACACACCCTGATTCTGTTTTACAATAAAATGTGATGCCATTTCATGTACTTGATCACTATATTTAACATCTCTCTGTTGACGAATGATGCATCTTATAATAAAATAGTTTATTTCCTCTGATTTTAGAATGGAGATGTGTGTATTTCTATATTGCACCCTCCAGTGGACGACCCGCAGAGCGGAGAGTTGCCTTCAGAGAGGTGGAATCCCACCCAGAATGTCCGGTTAGTACCTCCCCCATTACCTCTTTTCAAATGTCTCTCCTTTCTGGGATCCTCCGTTCCTTGTCTTCTCTCAACCACTTCACTGATTGACCTGACTCATACCCTTAGCACATGACATTTGTCTTCAGTGGAGTCTCTTCCGACGTTGAATACATATCGTGGTATTAAACATCGTGTAATGTGATCTGTTTTTGGTCAGTACAACATGTATGTTGGTTTGTTGTGAAATAGTGGACTTACACAATGTGGAGGCATTACAACTCCATAAGTGCTTTATGGTGGATTTGTGTCCGTGCACTGTTCTTCCAAATAATGAATGAAGCAAAACAATTATAAAAAGCCTCTATCAGGAATTTCACCTTCACTGCCTAAAAGTAAACAATGTACAATAATAGAACCCCTAAAATTCTTACTCAGTCAGAAAAAAGATCAATCCTTTATACATAATGCTATAATATTGGTTCAAATTACTACATCATTAATTTCTGGATGATATTTTTTTTACTCACATTTGTTTTCACTTCCAGGACAATTTTGCTGAGTGTGATCTCGCTGCTGAATGAACCCAACACCTTCTCTCCCGCTAATGTGGACGCCTCCGTCATGTACCGCAAATGGAGAGACAGCAAGGGCAAGGACAGAGAATATCAAGAGATCATCAGGTAAACAGACGTACTTTATTATCGTCATTCACAACGCTTTTATCACAAGAGCTGACTAAATTCCTTCCTTCTCTTCAAGTGTCAATCATCTTTACAGTATATATTATTTTACTTCCCGCTCAGGAAACAGGTATTGGCCACCAAGGTAGAAGCAGAGCGTGACGGTGTGAAGGTGCCCACCACGCTGGCCGAGTACTGCGTCCGCACACGCCTCCCGGCCCCCGACGAAGGCTCTGACCTCTTCTATGACTATTACTATGACGACGACGATGTGGAGGGCGAGGACGGAGACTGCTGCTACGACGAAGATGACTCGGGAAACGAGGAGTCGTGACGTGCTTTTTTGGCCGCATCCTCAATTTAGCTGACATGCGCTACCCGTTTTTTCTGTCAGGGTTGCCAGAAATTCTCGGTCCACATTCAACTGAGAAAGATTTGAAGCTTCCCACTTCTAAACCAATGAAAAGAGCAGTTTTTCCTGAGCCTTTGAATTATTTTCTGAGGCGTAAATCGTTGCACCGTTGTGGAAGGGTCAGACCTGGTAGAATTTGCACCAGCACAAAAGTCACCAAGTTCTTCAGATATTATGAATTTCCATTATCACCTAAAACCTTATTTTGAGAGAATATCACTTAATCCTATTGAGTTGTTCAGTCCCATGTATAATATAAAGTGTTGTGGGGTTAATACCACTTTTAACAATAGCAACATTTGCACTGGTGCAACTGCAAACACTTCCAAACTTTGCTCAGCCTGTCATTTCTCTCGTATATCTTTATTTCCCTAATTGTAAGTGATCGTTGCTCAGCAGTAGTTGGTTTCAGTGACTGACAGAAGATTGAGGACTTCAAGCAGCATTTTTGTACCGGATGATCTACTGCAAATCCATTAAAAAAAAAAGATATTTCTGAGTTTCCCAATCTTGTTGCGCTTCAATCCGAGGGGATGTCACAGGGCGATGTTTCTCGAGCATGCCAGAACATCAGAAGCTTTTTGTCCCTTTTACCTACGAGTTGTTTACCTACGTCACTATCCGTTATCAGCTTGGTGAAAAGAAATAGTCGAGTTGACTGAGATCCCACAGAACTCTGTATCTGGAGAACCGGCTGGCGTCAGTTGGTCAAATCCTGATGTGAACAGTTTTGGTAACAAGAAATTGATATTTTGCTGTGTTTCTCCTGGTTACTGTTGGATGTGTTTCTGTGTCATTTTGAGTGTGGGGTTATGTTATTTGAAGTAGCTCAGATTTAAAAGTCGTTAAGGGACGTTTTTCAGGGGGGAGCAGAACTAATTACTGATCTGAATTGTATTTCTCTTCAGGTTTTCTCTCTAAGAGGCCCAAGGGAGCCAAAGACGTAAAGCAGTGTAAAAGAAAGCCCAAAACATGTTCTGACTGTCTGTTGTATTCCTGTCTTTGCTCTCTTGCAGGCTTTGTTATTTTAGTCTCTTTACTTTGTTTAGACATTATGGCTGCAAAACTTTTGCTTGAGATTTATTTATGTGATGAAATGATTAGGTTTGATTGGCAAAAAAAGCATATGTAGGAAATGTGTTTGTCAAAAGCTGTTGTTGCAGTATCATTCAAATTTCAAAATGCTTTTCACCCCCGGAAGTGAAGTAAGAGCAAAAAGGCTGCCGTGTTTTATCATCATTTCTATTCTTTGTTTCAGCTGAGAGTAGTTTTGATATGATTTTTAGAGTGCATGGGTCTCTGTGTATTTTTGCATCAGCAATATTGATTGTTTAATTTACTTAAAGTAGAACTTCATACTGAATTTCTCAGGATAGTGAATTACATATAAAAAAAAACTATACAATTTCCCTCTTAGGTGGTCTTCAGAGTTGGTTTAAAGCTTCAGCAGGAACCATAACTGATATGCACATGTAGCTGTATAGGTGAACACCGTATTGTTTTATTCACCTGTGTTTATTTTTTCTTTTCGGCTATTTAAAACTGAAAAATAAAGATTTATTGGGGAAAAATGTGCTTATTTATTGCTTTCTTTGGATTAGTTGTACTTCTAACATTAATTCTCTTAAAGGTCTCATGTCATGCTATTCCGGTTATTACCCGTCCCCTTGTGTGTTATGTAGCTTTTTCTCCAACAAGCCGTTTAGGACAGAGAAGTAACCAGTATGAGAAACCAATGTGATTTTGGAACATTGAACAATGTAAATAATATTCTAGAAGACCTCAACAATGGAATTATGATCAGTAGAAATGGCTATGTCATGGGAGCTTTAAATTGAATTACAAATATATCTAATGTATGACAATTTTAAATTGGCTCATCTAGATTTTTATTTTAACATTCAAAGATTGATTTAAAAGGGATTGGCGAAGACAGTGCTTAATTTCTCTCACACAGGAATCTCTGAAATCGAATTAATTTTTGATAAGGGTCCCCCTTTATAATAAATGTACCTTTTGATAAGGGTCGCAAACGGAGGGAATTGGGCCAAATATATCCAGGGTCTGTTGAACTGGCTTCGTCGTACAGGCTGGACCGATTGGATGAGGGGAAATCCCATGGGAAATCCTTGTTGTGAACATATCGTCGCTAAGAGATGACGTCAGTTCAACACCACAATTGAAGAACCGCCTTGGAGCTTCTTAATACTTGAACAGTTTTCTAAAAACAATATAATAGAGTCAAGCAACGTTACCGACAACAGCAATGTCTGTGAATTATGCTGCTGGGCTCTCGCCGTACGCAGACAAAGGTGTTTGCGGACTTCCTGAGGTAAAAAATAACGACCATGAGCTAACGCTGGGTTGTGTTTGTTAGCTTATCTACTGCTAGCAGTTTAGCAGAAGAGGACGCTTTTTTAGGTTCAGTTCAATTAAAAATAATAGAAAATACATCAGAAAAGCTAAACACCAATGTAAAAATCCTCCATGACAAGACAGAGTTATACATTCCTATGTTTACTCATGTACAAATGTTACGAAATGTACGGTAATGTTAGCTAATAACAGAAAGCAACACCACAACAAACTCAACATTTAAAATGTCCAGATTACAACAAAGGAATTCCCAAAGACAGACAACATATTAATTAGAACGTTTGTTATTGCTACCTTGTGAAATGTTTCTTTATTGAAAAGTTGCATAATATTTACCATGTTTATGTATGTTTGGCTTCAGGGTTAATTGGGAGAAAGGTCTATCATACCCACATTAGACAATACCACTTACCCCGGTGTTAGATACAACATTACTGTATGAAAAGCATCCCTTATCAACCCCTTGTCATTCTTAAGTACTCTTGATATTTAGGTATTGTTACAAACATATTATGATATTTGATTGTGTCAGTATCTGCCAACTGTTCTTAAACTAGCTGTTTCCTGTTCTGTTGCAGGTGTTTGATAGTCCTGAGCAGCTCAAGGCGAATGTGGAGACCCTCGCTCAGCTGATCAGAGACTCTCAGTACCTGGTGGTCCACTCTGGAGCAGGAATCAGCACCTCAACAGGCATCCCTGACTTCAGGTGAGGCACAGAGTCATCAGAGCTTCGATAGCCCTTTATCACAGACACATACTGATTTTCTCTCTCTGCACAGTGACCTCACACAGTCCCAAGTAAAGTTTAAGTTTCTTTTTTGTTTAAAAGCTCCTAATCAACTTGTTACAGGACTGGTTTGAACATCTAGCACACTCTTGCTTATGTGTGCCCATATACAGTAGTGTTTGCAGGCCATACAGTTTCTTTCTGTTAATTTGTATATGACCCTATATATATTTTTGTGTATTAACCTTCAATATTGATTTTATTGTGACTGAATTAGTTGGTAAATTGATTAGAAAACATTACGATCCTGGGGAAAAAATTTGGACAACCGCCAACTTTATGCCACTAATACAAAAACACTTTGTGTTCGTTTCTCTATTTTCTCCATTTCTGGATGGTATAATATAGACCTTTCGACTTAAGCTCCTGCTCTTTTCTTGCAGTACTACTGTATGAGCAGTTGAGGGCAGTGCTTGCTTATTATTTGTTGTATTCAGCTCTTTGTAAACAACCACACACACTTAAATAAATCAAATTGTGGTCTTCCATTATAGTGAAAGAATTTGTTTTGCCGTAAGAGCTGAGCTTTTGCACTTATTTAAAATTGAGAACTTTTGACTCATTAATTGAGCTAACTATGGAAATAACATGGCAACTGTTCGGGTGTTACACAGCAGCAGTACTGCCATGTTTATTCATCATTCAGACACTCTTAGCTAATTGGTGGGCAGACTTTATACATTTTAGTTAGAAAACCTGTCAGTGTTTGTATTTAACATTATTCTTGTCAATTTAGACATATTAGATATTTTTATAAAATGCTCATAAGGATGTTTTTGTAGAATGTAATTTATTCTACATATAATCTATATTATTTGTTGTAGGATACTCTTTATACATAGTTTTTTTTGGGTCATATTTCCAATTTTCCAGTGGTCTCAGATGTGCAGCATGTGGCTGCAGTTTCTCAGTTTCGTGGACAAAACTTGCAGAATATATCCACCTAACACTCACTTCAGCCTTGAAAAGAAACCCACACACCAGCTGGGACATGAAATGCTTGCCCACCCACTGCATTACCGCCTGTCAACTCCTGATTATAACTCCTGTCAGTCATTACTTCAATCATATTTTCTCTTTCAGGGGTCCAAAGGGGGTGTGGACATTGGAGCAAAATGGTGAGTCACCTCACTTTGACACCACCTTCGAAGAGGCCCGGCCTAGCTTGACTCACCTGGCCCTGCTGGGGCTTCAGAGGGCCGGCTACCTCAAGTATCTCATCAGCCAGAATGTGGATGGACTTCATGCTCGATCAGGCTTCCCGAGGTAATTCTGTTCTGCAGCATGATGGTTACACATAAAGCATTTTACACACTGAGTAGCTAGCAATGCATGATTTCACAGATAATTCACAAAGCGTCTAGTAGCACTCAAAGTGGGGAAGAAAAATCCCCCTCATGTTGGAAGCCGAATAACCTTGGAAATTGCCCTTTTCTATTCACTGGAACAAAAGCTTGTGTCATTAAATTTTTTTTGTTTTGTCTCACCAATAGTCAAAAACCCATAGTGAGCCAGTTTACTGTGTTAAGTGAATACAAATAATTAATCAATTCTGAGATGCTAGAACCATCACAATTTTTACTTTAATCCGATTTTCAAAATAGCTTTGATACATTTTCTGTTGATTGAGTCATTGCAGCCACAACACATCACATACGTTGAGATAGCCACCCAGCAGACACTGGGCAACATTAGCATTACTTTCTTTCTGTACATGTCTGTGTCCACCTGATTCATTCCTGAAGGAAATATATGGCTCTTAAGCTGCAAAAACATTAAAGATGCTGGCCTTAAAACCAAAACAATGATCTCAAAGTAACTAAAGAGCAGCGTACAGGGGGGCTGCAGAGTCAGGGGGTCTTCTAGTTTACAGCATACCTGCAGCAAATGTCAAAAAAGGTCCTCCGTTTGCTCATACATATAACATGTTAGATCCGGTTAGATTACCTCCCTGTGCAGGATGAACAAATGACAAGTGGACGTGAGATACTTATTTAGAGGAAATGCAATGTGTCCGAAAATGCAGTGAATTCCTCAACGTTAATTGGCCACATTAGAGTAAGTTTTATAATTGTTATCAGTTTGTTTGTCAGTAAGTTGTTTGAGCTAACCATATTGTTTCATGCCGGTTTGTTAAATGTTGGAGTGTGACTAATTTTTTATTTAAATATGAAGCTGCTGCTTTGTGATAACAGCTGTAACAGCGCCAGATCTTTAAACACTGCTTAATAATAATAATAATAATAATAATAATAATAATAATAATAACTTAAGCATTCAGCACATAGCCCAGCCTTGTCTTTAATTGGAAGTCTTGCATTTCTTCCTCTTCCCTCTATCAGTCAGGGTAGACGAGGCCAGGCATTGAAATGCTATTTCTCTGAGGAAATCATTGAGACAGCAAACAAACTGGGAAAGTAAACTGGTTGTGTAAAGCAGACATTTGAAAGCAGAAATGAACTGAGGAATTCTGAAATAGTCTGAACCTTTTTGAAGTGATCTTTCTGGTTTTGTGTTTGATTTAATTTTCTCTGGCAGGGATAAGCTATCAGAGCTCCATGGAAACATGTTTGTGGAGGAGTGTGAGAAGTGTGGCAGGTATGTGCACACACACAAACACACACACACACACACACAAAAACACACACAGGCCGTTTCTCAATGTCGAGTAAACCTGCTGCAGAGCCACTATTTCAAGTATACTACATCGTCGAGTGGCGCCGAAGGACTGTTTAAATGCATGTTAAATGCCCAGCATTCTGCGCCACTCTATGACGTAGTATACTTGACATAGTGGCTCTGCAGCAGATGTACTCGACATTGAGAAACAGCCACACACACACGCACACACGCACACGCACACACACACACACACACACACACACACACACACACACACACACACACACACACACACACACACACACACACATACATCAAGCACATGCTGTGACTTCATTTCCCTCCACTCCCCTACTCAGTCTTCAGTTATTATTGGAATAAGTTACCTTTGCGGTGAATCATAGATGAAGGCAGCAGCTAATCGCTCAGCAGCTGCTCTTCAGTGACATGTGTTACCGTGTTGTTTTTCCATTTTTTGAATTAGGCAAGTCAAGTGTCTTTGGATATCTGTGTTATTCTTTTTTTGTTTAAATGTGCAGGAAATGGCTAAAGCAACACCAAGTGGTGGTGCTAACTGATTGAAATACTCTTAATAAATGGACAATGGTGCTTTCAGGCAGCCTTTAATTCTAAACTGTAACTGTACTAAAGTTGAACAAAGAAGTAACCTATAGGAGTCTTGGTTTTCCAGGCAGTATGTCAGAGAAAAAGTGATAGGTGTGATGGGACTGAAGCCAACGGGACGTTACTGTGATGTGGTTCGATCCAGAGGACTCAGAGCCTGCAGGTAACACGTGTTTCAGTGCATTTGGAAATATTGAACCACGATCCTTTCCTTAGTATGACCGTATGTGTATTCTTCTTTACTAGAGGAAAGCTGATAAGCACTATTCTGGACTGGGAGGATGCTCTTCCGGACAGAGACCTGAACAAAGCAGAAGATGCCAGCAGGTGGGGGAGTCAGACCAAATTGCAGCAATTATTTTTTTTGTCATGATGACCCACAACACATCTATCCTGATTTCCTTAGACACCCATGTTTCATTGTCGGCCAAATAGTACAAGTCACAGATCCAACGTGGGAAATAATATGTGGGATCTAATTGCTTTCTGAGTGGCTTTACTGTCAACTGTCCTGACATGCAAATGATTCACAGCCTGCTTAAAGGGGATAGTTCAGATGTGTTGAAGTGGGGTTCTATGAGGTACTTATCCATAGTCAATGTCGTGGCTTACTTCCTTGTTTTTTCTTTCAAGCCACTAGACGCCTTAAACAGACATTTTTAACTCGTTTTCTTTCCTTTATATTACTTACAGTTGAAGAGTTGCTTGGTCTCCGATGGTTTGGATGATGTTATGCGACGTGTTTGCTCAAAATAAAATAACAAACTTTTACACATGCAACAAAGAAAAGAGGCCTTTACAATATTCAAAACAAATAGGCAAAACTCAAATAAAATAACAAACAACTTGCAGTAGGTATTCTTTCTTTCTTGATAAGGCTTATATAACTTGATAACTTAAAGGATAATTGGACGGTTAAAAAGTGTGCCTCGACGGCGTCTTTCTAGCAGGTTGCCCATCACTGTCACTTTAGACCGGGCGCCCGTGGGAATTGTAGCCTTTTATAGTGTGTTGACTACAGATGTCACAATTAGGTGGCCTTTCTTATAAAAACAAAATACTGGCTCTAACAGTCAGTATATAACAGATGGGAGTTACTGCAGGAAGCTAAGCAATGTACTGTTGTGGACAGGAACTGGAGCAAAATAGGAATTATCAACCTGAAAAAGGCCCACCTAAAATAATCAATCAGTTTATTTTTTATTTTGACAGTTGTGCCTGGCAGTCAAGAGGCTATATAGTCTTTGTTTTTCCACACAAACAAACCAATAGAGGCAGCAATAGACCTTCATCTCCTGCAAGCTTATTGTTCTGTTTCTGTCAATGGAGTCTGGATTTGGCACGAGCATTTGTACCTACTTCAGTTTCCTATCAGAGAAGGGCCGTCTGATGACAAGGGTTAAAAAGGATATCAAATATAGCATGCACTACATTTGATTTTGATGGTTTTAAGTGCTTTAATAACGTGCAACCCCCATCCACAGCAGTACATTGTTTTTCTGAAAAGGTGTCCTGCCGTCCACCATCTACCATAGGAAACACACTGTTGGATAAGTACTTTATACAACCCCACTTTAAAACATCTAAACTACCTTTTTGAATGGTATTGTTTCCCTCCTGTTTGTCAATGTTTCCATTCAATCCTTAAGACTTAAAAAGCTTTTATCGAGTGTCTTCTGAACAGCAGTATGAAATACATGTTGGTGTTTCACCTTGGTGGGCTCAGAGACCTATACACAAAAAGCATAATTACTACATACCATGCTGTGTTAGTGCTCTTACATTCATTGTGACATATTGGAAATGGTTTTGCCAGATGTGTGTTACTGAGAGCAGCCGTTTGTGCCTTTCACGTTTGCTCAGCTTCCGTTTATCTGAAAATAAACTACCGGGCAATCATTTGAAAGCACTTTCTGTTGCTGTTAGTTACAGGATCTTCGAAAACCTTTCTATCCAGCCGGATAAAATAATATTTCTTCTTTTCCAAAAAACCCCGATTTGAGCTGCTTTTCTAATCCACACAAACATGGCAGATATACATATTTGTAAAAGAAAATATTGACAACAATGCTGCTATATTGATTTGTTTTCTAATATTTGTATTGTATTTTATAACAACTAAGATACATATCAGGATTAGACTCTGTCTCGTCTTGAGAGTCAGGCAAATTCAGGTACAGCCTTTGGGAATTCTGGGAATTATTTCATAAAGTTGTAATTCACAGATTCCACTGTCTCAGATGCATGTTTGTTTGAATCTTGATAAAGAACATCTGGGGAATACCTTCAAAACAGACTATTTGTGAACAGGCTTTTGGTTTATCCAATGTTGCCAGAAACCTTTCTTTTTTTCAAACTGATGCTTAGAGCTGTCACTCAAATATAATGATAATATGTGTAACAATACATTCAACGCACAACCATGAATACCAGGCAAATAAAAAATGTGAACAGCATGTGACGTATTTCTCTGCTGTCTGCAGACGAGCGGACCTGGCTCTGACGCTCGGCACCTCCCTGCAGATCAAACCCAGCGGAGACCTTCCACTCATCACAAAACGCAAAGGAGGGAAACTGGTCATTGTCAACCTGCAGCGCACAAAACATGTGAGTCTCAATCAAGCCTCACCAACTGATGCATATATATGAAAAAAACGGCACAAATGAAAGCAAAAATCAAGACTACAGCTGAAAGATTGTCCCCATTAATACAAGTAACACCAGAATTCTAGCAGCACCTCTTTATTTATTTATTTTCATTTATTTGTATTCACTGCACTTGTACTTGTTTCATCTGAATGGTAAAGCACTGGTTCTTACTAACATAATGGTTCAGGTATTGTGCGATCATTTTATTGATGAGGGGGAATGATAATGTCTGTAATATGTTGATAATGTTTGCACAATATGAAAATCGATAGCATCAAGAAATTGTATATATGTCTTTTTGGTGTCCAAGGAGGGCATGAATGATTAACCCTGGTGTACAACAGGTGCAGTTATGTAAGCATCTCCATGTATGTTCTATTTATGTTATGTTTGCCCCTGTGTCCTGTCCGGCTTCTTCTTGCTCACTATTTCACCGTCATGATTTTCTGTTCTGTAGCACAAGCAGGCGCACCTGCTCATCCACAACTACGTAGACGAGGTCATGAAACAGCTGATGGAGCTGCTGGGCCTGGACATCCCAAAGTGGGAGGGTCCGACAATCTGCGAGAGCTCCGGAGACCCCTCTGAGTCCTCCGTCGACGTCAAACCACCACGTGCAGTCACAGCAAAGAGAAAGTTGAAAAAGTGCCTGAAAAAGGAGGAGAGGAACAGAGACACAACGGCATTGGCAGACGATGGGAGTGTTAAGGAGGAGGCGGTCTCGGTAAAGAGGGAGAGAGCGGACCCTCCGGAGGAGATAAGTGAAGAGAAATAGCCTCAGGTACCTTTCCTCACAACACAAACAGTCCAGAAAAAACTCTACAACCGAGGGTGCTCGGTTTGATCCGCGTCAAAGGACAGAGGTTCTGTTCACTTAACACCCTCTCAAACAAAGACTTCTCTTGTACTGTATTTTTTTTAAATCCCATTTTGTATACATCCCCCCCCCCCCCCTTACATCTACGACGAACAGAAATGTGAAACTGAGTCCTTAGCTGAAAGCTCAAAAGTTGACATCCTCATGGAGCAAGTTTAGCTAGGAGATTGTGTTTAAGGTAAAAAGATGGCTTTATATGAGGAGGTATGGAATATAATGTTGAATATCACAGTTATGATATTACTTGCGATAAATGAACAGATATTTCAGTGTCCTGAGTTCCACATTGCTTTCAGTTTACGGCTAAAATACAACAAGAAAGAAAGGTTAAAGAAAAGAACACTGCTGTTTCTCGAACCCTTTTTTGTCTTAAAAGTTACATTTTACATTTTAAAGTGAAACAATTACTCTCTTGCTCACTTTTGAAATTCCTGAGTCCAAAGTGCAGTCTTTCCTGATACATTTATTGCACAAGGGGACACCACAATGACAATAAAAAAACATTACGTGGTGGTGCAGACCTCATTTGGAGTGTTTTTATTTTTTATTTCTTGTCAAACAACATGCCCTAAAAGTAAACATACTAATACACAGTATGTGATGTTAATGTCTTTGAGGTGAGATCGGGAACACACAGTTATAAATATGGCCTATAATGAGGTGTGTTGCGCATTCTAATTAAAAACTCAATTTAAATCATGCACTTCAGATCTTTTCCCTACAGATCTATCCTTTAAAGACATCTTGATACTTCTCAAAACATCTATCAATAGAACATCTCGTGGTCTGAATAACTTAGTATATCTTATCTTATCTTAGCCTCATAGACCTGAGGGAAATTGAGGTTAACCCTAAACCCAACAATAACCATAGCATTTGTATTACTTCTTTCATGGTGCAGAAGCGTTTACCTTTTCTAGAGACTGTGTATTTCTTTTAAATGGAGCCCTTGCTGCATGGCTGCACATTGACCATTATCGCTCTGGGCGTTTCTGGGAAATTGTTTTATCTCGGGAACAAGGCATTTTACTCTAATGGAAAAAGTCCCTTTACTGTTATTTTCGATCTTAAAACATACGTTTTCACAATCCACACATTAAGATCCTGCGGTACCACTTTACAATAAGACTACCCTTATAAAGGGTTTACGAATAGTTTGTAATTCATTTATTAATTAGGTTGTGAACACTTTATAAATCATTAATAAGCTTTTACAAGACATGAGATAAACAGGGCAACTGTGACCGGTTGCTTGCCAAATAGTGAGCCCACATTTATCTGTACTGCTAAGCCTTATATTGGCTACTTAGATTACTTTATCTTCTTCATCAGCCAGCATCCTTGGTATCTGTTGTTCACAGAGTTGATTCCCCCCCTTCCATCTTGATGTTTCTTGGCATCTCTTATGACCATTTATGAATGAGTTACTAACATTTATAACTGCCAAAAGGGAGCCTTATTGTAAAGTGTGAAACACATCACAATCTATTGATGAGTCACTAACATTTATAACTACTGAAAGGGTGATGCGTTGTTTTTAAGTTTAATACACATCTCCATATATGAATGAGTTATAACATTCACGCTGACCTAATACACATTTTCACATGAAATGCAAAGTAAGATGCAAAAGAGCCAAGCAAAACATTTTATTCACACATGAAGAAAATCTAAATAATGACTGTTTAGTATGACTGATACACATATTTAAACATAAAAGCTTTTCTCTGACATAAGTGAAAGACTTGGTAAGGCATAATGGTACTCAGACTGGAAAGGCTTTGTGTATATCCTTGAACAAGCGTCCAAGCAGTCCATCAGGGTGAGCAGAGCCAAGCCAAGATGACCATTCAAGAACCTTGAGGTGTTCCTCCAACAAACTCTCTGTACGGTTTCCTCTCAGCGCTCTCCTGTATGCCCTCCACTCATCACTAATAATGCTACTTCCTGACTTAACATGCCGTTTTTTTATTTTTTGTTTAACCTTTATTTAACCAGATAAAAAAGCATTGAGATAAAATCTCATTTTCAATGCTGACCTGGCCAAGAAGGCAGCAACGTTACACATAACACATAACACAAACATATAAAATACAGAGAACATAACTTAGAAAACAAAAGACGAAAAAGCAGTCACTACATTGTGCACATTAGGACAGTAAGAAAGGTACACTACTTGTTACTGCAAGAGCAGCTGGTGGTAAGGACCTCAGACAACTTCAATTTAAAACATGCTATTGAGACAAGTGCCCTCAGTTTGAGGCGTGATTGAAGGTCATTCCAAGACCAAGGACAATAATAAGAAAGACTCCTTTTTCCAGCCTCAGTCCGTACAGCAGGAACCTGGAACCGTACCCAGGCACTGGATCTGAGGTTGTAAGAGTCGCAAACTGGAGCAAATCTGGCACATATGTACAATGGAAGTTTACCTAAAATGGCTTTATACATTAATAAAAACCAGTGCTGCATCCTACGCATACTAAGTGAGGACCATCCAGTTAGGCTATACAGTTTGCAATGATGAGTCCTATAGGGTGCATTTGATATATAACGCAGTGCAGCATGGTAGAGTGGGTCAAGTTTGGCCAAAACAGTGGGACAGGCAAATCTATAAATGGTATCACCGTAGTCCAGCTGGGACAGGAATAAGCCAGAGACCAACCTTTTACGGGATGAAGTTGAAAAACAACATTTAAGTCTGAAAAGGAAGCCAAGAGTGAATTTCAATTTCTTTGTTAGAACTTCAATATGAGAATCAGAGTCTAATCAGAGGGACAAGGTGGCCTCTTGATGGTTTCTCCACTAGTTTCAACACTAGTCTCTGCCTTTTGTCTTTAACTCCCATCATTCCGAAGACCCATTTCTTCCTTCTCCAGGTATGTCCAAAGCGTCCACGTGCATACTAACAAAAAATAAATCATAACATCATCTTAGTTAACAACAAAATGCACACAAATTACAGTAAAAATTGTTGCACATCATGTTTCAAAATGCCATACTTGTTTATAACATCATTTAAGGATAATTATACAGTAATGGTCCATATTGATTTTTCTATTGTTTTTTATTCTCTTGTACAAGAAAGCCCAGTCTAGACACAAATACTGTCCTACTTTACCGGTGATAGCAATGAGGATTTGAATGAAGATATTTCTGTGTGTTGGCCAGGCTGAACTTTGACTTTTTACAAAGCGTTCATCAAACCTGGGGCATGCATATGTAATAGGGCTTTGACTTGAACATTTTCATGGCAGCTTTTGCATTCATGTGCATATACAGTAAATGTGCCTATAGACTCAATATGAAACTATAAAGGCAGCGGAACAAACACATCCTGATGGGATTCTGCGTAAATTACTAATGTGGTGTAATATAGTTTGATACAAAGGATTTTTTACAAGTGACAGTAATTCAAATAACAGTGTTACAATAGTGTTACGCAGAAGAGCCGGTCTGAATGTGCGTCACATCGCAGTGGACAGGCCTCATTAAAACTGGACAGTGAACGATTGGGGGGAAAAGGCATGTATGTGTGAGGGGCAATCATTTTTCACAACATGGATCTATTTTAGGCTTGCTTCAACAGTTGGGGTTACTTCTTTAACTGCATGCACAACTTACGCCCATTAATGAAAATTGAACATGGTTTTAATGCTACAGCCTACCTGAGTATTGTTGATGACCGTGTGCTTCAAATAGGGTTGTAAGGCGAGAGTTTACTTGGATACTTCCAGCAGGATAATGCATCGTGTTCATGGCCTCTAATGCCACAGATTGGGAGCAGGTGGAGATTCGGCAGGAGAAGTGACAGCAAGCCTGAGGCCGGCACAAAGGGTTAGGTCTGTCCAAAAGCAGAATGATTTAATTTAACATTTTACATGACGAGGTGGCAGCTTCATGCTGCCTGAGAGACTTTTACTTGCACTTATTTGGATGCTTTAAGGCCAGTGAGAACAATAGCTGGGGCCAAAGATGTCAGATCTGTCTGCTGCAGGACGACTGGGTTGAATTCATGCTTCTATGTTGTTAGAGACAAAGTATTCAGTGAATCAGAAACCAGAGTGCGGAGTCCTTGAATATCTTTTTAAGGCCTGTGTTATTTTAAGATGGTTGTTTTCAATCTATTTACAACTGCTCCTTGTTCAGTTATGATCGTCCCTGAGGAAGAAAGTAATCAAGGCCAAAGGCGTGATATTTAAAATGTGAACCACATTCACTTAATTGGTCCTTTATTTCCCTTGGGGGGTAAACAATTGTCATCATATCCTTTCTGGTGAAAGGCATTGTGTGTGTGTGTGTGTGTGTGTGTGTGTGTGTGTGTGTGTGTGTGTGTGTGTGTGTGTGTGTGTGTGTGTGTGTGTGTGTGTGTGTGTGTGTGTGTGTGTGTGTGTGTGTGTGTGTGTGTGTGTGTGTGTGTGTGTGTGTGTGTGTGTGTGTGTGTGTGTGTGTGTGTGTGTGTGTGTGTGTGTGTGTGTGTGTGTGTGTGTGTGTGTGTGTGTGTGTGTGTGTGTGTGTGTGTGTGTGTGTGTGTGTGTGTGTGTGTGTGTGTGTGTGTGTGTGTGTGTGTGTGTGTGTGTGTGTGTGTGTGTGTGTGTGTGTGTGTGTGTGTGTGTGTGTGTTCTTGTTCTTGTTCTTGTTCAGACTTTAAAGGTTGCAAAAGGGCAAAGGTGCAGGGTTGCTTTTGTGTGTGTGACTTGTTTTCACGTTTTGAGGCTGTTTTGAGTTCAGACAAGATTAACTTTCCAGAGACGTCACTAGACTCTTTTGTCCGCTAATTTTTTTAATGTCACATTACATCTGGGCAGTTACAAAACGACTCACGGTGGCACGGCAAGGCAGAGAGACACGAAAGACGGCAGGTTCATGCTTTAACTGTATCCTTATTGACTTAGCAACAATTACACAAATATTAAACACATCAATAGTGAAAATGAACAAACATACCGTCCTAATGATGGCATATGTAGGCGTCTGAGATGCAAAGTAGAAAAATAACTTTACAGGTTAACATTTTTTAAACAACACATGGTATTTTGTTTGCTGCCATTGTCACTAAGAGTGGGCTCAATCAGGGGTTTGATCGTTTCCAAGAATGTAGTTGTCATGAAGGAGATCAGTTCCAAAGTGGGAAAACGGAAATAATTAACTAACCCTAACCCTAACCCTGCTGTTCAGGTTTCTGTGCAAATGTAAAATAATGACACAATAGTGTCACACGGGAACATGATTAGCTGTGGCCTTTGTTCACAGAGAGAGAGGCAAAAATGCACAGTCACAGTAATTGGACAGATTGTCATCTTTTCGCTTCGTTTTTGCAAGGGTTAAGTGACCAAATGAGACCAAATGAGACCAAATGAGACCAAATGTGTCTTTGTGTCAAGCTGAGTTAACCAGTTGCTGGCTGTAGCATCATATTAAGCTTACAAACATGAGGTTGGTATCAGTTTTCTCAACGTTCAGCAAGCAAGCGAAGAATTGTATTAATCACATGACGATGTCCTCCACTCTCCTCCCTCTCAGAGCCCTATTGAAAACATTTCGGACGGAGCGGGACACGCTCAGCAGGAGCTCCTTCAGTCCTGCTCTGTACTCTTTTCGGATCAGGCAGTAGAGCACAGGGTTGAGACAGCTGTTTGCATGAGCTAAACACACAGTCAGGGGGAAGGCGTAGGCCTGGACGTTGTAGAAGGCTTTAGTGAAGGGCACCAAGTCAAATTTGATCAGCACCCCCCACAGAGTGAGAGCCTGGTTAGGCAGCCAGCAGCTGAAGAATGACAGAACTACGATTGTAACGGAGCGGGTGACTTTGGAGCGGTGGCGGCGGTGGCGGCGGTGGCGTCCTCTCTCACACTCTGACCTCTCTGTGAGGGTCCCGCTCTCCATGCTGCCTACGATGCGTCGGCTCAGGATGAACCTCAGGAGAAGGAGGTAGCACACAGAGATCACGGTCAAGGGAATTACAAATCCAAGGAGAACCTTTTGTGTTTGATAGAGTCCAAGCAGGACTTGAGGATCCCAGTGACCTGAGTCGGAGTCAGAGAAGCGCATTAAGCACAGCTCTTCATCTGTAGACACCTGTAACACAAAAACAACATAACAGGTTTGCTAACTCCCTCCAACAGAACACATATTTTGAACGTTACACAGCCAGTTACATTTGTGATTTCAGTCATTAACGCTACCATTATAATGCATCAAGAGGCCAAACTACACCTGCTACGCTGTAAAGTGAAGTGAAACTCAAAAACGAAACGTAACTTCAATTTGAATTAACAGTCACATTTCCAACATAAAAAACAACTTTGTTAAGTTTAGGCAACAGAATGATTGTTAATACGGTCGCTAGTGGTCAGGGTCACCTTCTTTTAATGGTGATTCTTTACACCGTGTGAATAGATGATACAACCAATAGTTGGTTGAGGAGGCCCTTTTGAACCACCTGTATGTGGCTGATAACCACTGATAACGCCCATTAAATTGAATGAAAGCTTTCGAACAAAAAGTTTGTATTGCTGCAATTTAAATCGGTCTAAGTGTAACTGCAACAAACCTGGACTGTGGTGGAGTAGAAAGCATGAGGCAGCGTAGCCACCAGTGACACCACCCAAATAATTAAACTGGCCCACCTGGCACGAGCATTAGCGACCTTGGGGCTGCTCATCTTCATCGAGGTGAGCAGAGAGTGGTAGCGGGTCACGCTCATGGTGGTGAGGAAGAAGACGCTGGCGTACATGTTCATGGTGGTGACCGAGCTCACGATCTTGCACATGACCCGGCCAAATGGCCAGCGGAAGTCCAGCAAGGTGTCCACGGCCCAGAAGGGCAAGGTGAGCACGAACTGGAGGTCTGTCAGCGCCAGGCTCATCACGAAGCAGTCGATAGACGAGTGGTGTTGGCCCCAGCGGCGCGAGTGGAGCAGGAACAGAGCCAGGAGGTTACCCACAAGCCCCAGGACACACACCACCAGGTACACCAAGGCGATGACAACTCGTACCTGACAAACACATAGAATCATTTTTATTTTGGTTCACACAAAGTGCACACAAGGAAATTAAATCAAAAATAACATGCATCCTCTCAGCACTTTCTATCAATAGCAAGGCTAAGAAATATTTGTAGCTGTTTCCATGTGCACGCGATAAATGTACTAAAAGTTTGTTATTTTTAAATGTAGGCCTACTATTAGTGCTACTAAAGATATGATGAAATACATTTAAGTTGACTGAATATATAAGTACACATTTAACTAACAAATGCAGTACCTTTTTAAGAACAAATATATTTCAATACATTTTTCCGATAACTATTAAAACATGTGAAATATATTCATAATGCAGTCAAAAATATGTAGATAATACATTAATACATTATAATGAATAAGATTGTATATGCCTTTTAAGTTCACCTTAAATATAATTAAAATACAGTATTTCTTTAAGAAGTTGTAAAAATAGTACAGTCAAGTAAATTGACATTTATAATAACTATAGTGTATCTACTATAGAAACTTGGTTGCTATAGATTCTATAGGTTGCTATAGATTCTATAGCAACCACGAGGCTAAACTCTGCTCATTGCTGTGAGGCCTTCCAGAGAAGAGTAGGTCCTAAAGTCAAAGTTTTAAGATGTTTAAAAAAAAAAAAATAACTAATGCAGGACCATGTGGTCAACAGATAATATCTGAGCAGTCATGCTCTTTGTCAACAACACACCACAGGTAATTCCATTAACCACACCCAGGTAAATTATAATAATATAAATAATAAACAACGGCTAAATACTAATTTGGCTCCTATATCTTTAGTAGTAAAAAATATACCTCACCAATTAGTAGCCTTAATGCTACTTCATTGTATTTCTTTAATTAGTTCAGTGTGACCTTGACTTTGTTACCCTGTGCATGGTCTTCTGAGGTGATTCGTGCGAAATGAAATTATAGATTTATCTTATTAATTTATATTTATAAGAAATCCTTAGCTTCACCTACTGCCAGGTTTGCGCTGTCTGCGTGCAGGTCCAGCGAGGACTCCTTGGAGAGGATGTGGAGCCAGCAGTTCAGTGAGAGGTTAAAAGCTGCGAGATTAGAGGCTGCTCCCGAAAGGCTCACAAGTTTGGAGATCTCGCTCTCGTCCTCTGCCCCGCACAGAGCGGCCAGCGGTCCGGAGGCGCTGCTGTTGCTCTGCATGCTGCTGCGCAAGAGACCGCTTCTCTGTATTGGCGGCGGTGTTATCCAACTCTTTCACTTACTTCCAGGTGGTGCGCAGGTGTGGATGCATAAATCCCCCTTGTCCTGTAGTTAGTCAAGCCTCAGAGTTGCATGATTTATTAACTTACTAGCATTTTACTTTCAAAAAGGTTGACATATGACATACAAGCTGAAGTGTTCCGTTATGCAGCCACATCTTCTGGCAGTGATGCTGTCAGCATCCTGACGCTTTTATAGTCTCCGAGGCGCGCGACGGTGCACTGCATGAGCGCGCAATATTACAACAAGTGGTATGATCATTACAGTCGATACCGGGTACAAATGAAACTCCACTAACTATAAAACTGGTTTTAAAGCCAGTTCTCTGATCTGTTTTTATTCAAACGTACATTCAGTGAAGAGGGGGGTCACATAACCCTGAGATATTTATTTTATTTTGCTTTACTCCTTTTGGTACACTAGTCTATAATTCTTGCATAACTTTGCTACTAGCCTATGTTTCACACAGATTTGTTGTGAACCCGTTGTGAGGGAGATCTTCCCATATCACAAGAATAATTGCTGAGCACATATTGATGATGTATTACTCGAGTGACTTGTATGTTATTTGTTGTTTCCTTTGTAATGTCTTAACAACTTAAAAATAAAGTATTACAAAAAAAAACGTACATTCAGGGTTGTTTTTTTTCAAAGGGAAAGATTTTGTTGTATTCTGAAGAAAACACTTTAGCAGTCTGATTCATTACCAAAAAAGTCTGTTTTCTGAATTCTGTTTGCTCTAAGGCAGGGGTGTCAAACTCAAATACACAGTGGGCCAAAATTAAAATATGGGTACTAGTCGAGGGCCGGACTGGTTCAATGTTTATTGCAAAACTTATTGAATGAACTTATTGCACATATTAAACCTGGAACTAACAAAGCTTAAATTATTGCCTATAAACACAACATTAAACATTAAATAATCAGTTGCATTCATTTCTTGTGGCTCTATCTGCAGCCTTTCCGGAGTCATTTCTTATGATTACATTTTTCCACAGGCCAACAACAGCTTCAAAAAAACAATTTCCCTCAAAGAAAAAAACAAACATGCCCTGTTGTCTCAAGAAAAAAAGTGCAGAAGGAAACATCCATTGAAACTCAGTGTGCTGCTCTGTGATGCTAGTTCAAGCCAGATACTTGGCATCTCATCTTGGGTGCAAGTTCATCAATGTTTGGGGTCAGGCTCTGAGCTGAGGAAATCCTCAGGATTGAGTGAAGGTGTGCGTGCAATATACCGGAGGGCCAGATCTAATAGTAATTCGAAATTATCCTGCGGGCCGAAATTAAATCCACCAAGGGCCTGATTTGGCCCCCGGGCCTTGAGTTTGACACATGTGCTCTAAGGTGAATGGATTGTTGGATATGTTGTTGCTCACGATAAAACCAGTGCCTAATTCAAGCAGTGCTTTCTTTGTGTGGGTGTTTGCTATATGCTTGCCATATGGTTTATTGTTTTCACATTTTGAATGGAACAAGCTAATCCTCCTCTTTGATGTGTTGTCCAAATATCCCCTTCAATATTCCTGCATGTTAAGGTAAATTACACAGGATGGTATTTTTAGAAAGGTATACAAGAGATGTTTCATGATTGATGATATATTCTATTTTAAACATTGTTCAGTCTTTGGGAGAGTGCCAGCAAAAGAGAGATATTTATGTGTGTTTCTGATATGTATTTTTTAAAAGTCACTTTAGGTATTCACACAACGCCCCGCTTTTGTCAGCCGTTTGTAAGAAAGAGTACATTTTTCAAGCAGTATAAATCTTTCCCTTGCATTTTAAGATGTACTGTATGTTGATTGATTTGAAATCCATTCAGGACAGTTGGAAGCTTTTTGTTCTCATCCACATTTATTTATCTGGCTCCAAGCGATTAGGAGCAACTTTTAAAAAATACTAGTTTGTTGACAGTTTCTTTATAGGCCTACTGAGATGGATGGAAATGCAGATATAGTTTGAGTCTGACTCGCTGTGAAGCTTCTCATTTGCATTTTGCTGAAGCTTTACCAGACACTTTTTAAAAAAATGTAAAGCATGGAAAGTAAGTAGGCCTACATCTATTTTTGATAGGCTACTAGCCTGCATGGATTATGTAAGACTTTTTCAATCTAAAGTGCTAAATGATTAGTCTTAACCACAGCAGAAGAAAGACTAAAAGGTTTTGTGCCTTTGTAGTTTTTTCTAATCATTTTTTATTAGAAACCAGATTTATTTTACTTTCAGTTTCTCTATAGGTTCTCGGCTGACCAAGGACATTTAGTGTTCACCTTTTTTATTATTCTTTGGAGCAATGCAGACAATTTAATTGAGCTCTCTAAGTAAGTCCCCCTGCAATGCTGAAAGTATTACATATAGCTGCAGTACATATATACAGTATCTATATTATATATACATACACCGAAAGTTAAAAAAAATAGTGTTACAGTTTAAAAAGAAAAAAATATCTTTGCTAGATTTTTCTCAAAATTGCTTTATCGTTTAAAAAAAGAAAAATCCTCTGAATGTTTATCATTGTTTAGCCTGCACCCTGTACTTTTTACAGATCTTGACTGCAGTATTTAATACGTTTCTGGCTTCTTTGCATGAATGTTTGTGGAACCTTTAATGAACAACCCATGAAACAGTGATCTTTCCCCTCCTGAGGCTTGATTCCCCTAAAAGTAGAAGCATCACTGCTCTAATGATCAACATTCTGATGTTCTTCTACCTCCATCTGTTCCTCTTTACCACTTAAAGCAACCTAATTAATAATTCATACATGGAGTCGAAAGTTTGGGTGTACTGAAAACCTACAAAATAGCTACAGCTGCTTGCGCATCAACTGTAATAATGTCAAATGTAAAAACTTTACCTGCAAAAGAGCCATGTTGACGGAGAAGGTTTAGAGAGGGACAAAATACGTTCTTGCTACTAAGCTAGATCAGTAAGTAAATGTGTTTACTTTATAATATTATTGGGTGTTTTACTTAGGACTGAGATTGGGGTTTCTGGTTCTGTGGTTGCTCTTTCGTCTTGCTTTTCACAGCAACGTTAGCCAGGCTGCTACATTAGCCATGTTGCTAACGGATTGGCCAATAATGTAGTTTTACAACGTCCTGGTCCGCCATATGATGACATTGGTCTCAAAAATACTTTTTCTGCTATAGAATTAAAACATTAGACATCTGTAAACAAGTAGATTTTTTTAAATATAAATAATCATCTTCACAGTACAAACACTTAAGCCCTTATTTAACCATTAGGCCCTTAAAAATGCACAAATAGCTGAATCCTGAGTTGTCTTTTCGTTTGATGCAAATGTTGTAGTCGAGGTACAGCTGAGATCCTACCCAGACGATCCTGTGCACTAGACACAGATGTCTGTCTGAATTGTGATGTTTTGGACAGAAACTGAGATGAGATAAAACGTGTATGTTCTGTCCATGGGCAGAGAACATTGTGTGAGGCACAAGAATAACCAGTGAAGTGTTGTCCTAATGAATGTAACAGGCAACAGCCAATAATTATACTTTATATAATAACAACAAAGAATTCAGCTCTAAAATTGAGATGTTATATTCACTATTTAAAAGAAACTCAAGTAAACTTTCCCTAATTAAAAGCTGGCATGAAGGTAAATCTTACTATTATGTGTGTATTGAATTCATCGAGCAGCTTTTGCTCATCATCTAATTAATTTGTTGGTGACATGTCATTTTTTTCACATATTCCCTCATTATTTTTGGGATTCAAATCTCTTCCAAATTGGACATATGGCATACTCCCCTTTTGGGGCTCAAAAAATGTATTTCAGTACACTTTTAATTCTCTTGTGCTTTGTCAGCATTGCACTGAAGTGTTACAAAATGCAAATCATTTCTGATAAACCATTTCAACATATACATTCAAAGTAAGTATTCAAATACAGTAGTGGTAGTACACAATGTTAATGTCATACATTTTGCAGTATCATGTATATAATACATGCTCCATTTTCCAAAGCAAAAATAATTAGGAATGTTTAAATGACCTCCTGGCCGACCTCAATCTGAGTGAGAGGGTGAATATCAGTTAAATCTTTTAACTAGCTACTTGTGTTTTGGAGCAGATGGCAAGCGCACCATAACACTTCATTCAGTCTCTGCAGTGGGAAATGGACGCTGACAATTATTCAGACTGCTCATCTGGATGCTGCGCATGCAAGCAAGTCTGCTTTTCTATTGCTCGTCTTTCCCCCTGGGGGTCCCGTGTAGATCAGTGATTTTCCCCATGCTTGTGATCATGGGGGGATGTGTTCAGCGTGTTCAGAGTTTCTCCATCATCCGGCACAGGGCCTCAACGCCCCTGGAGACGGAGAAGAGAGAAACAGGAGGGACTCCCTGCCCTTCATCCATTGACTGCAGGTTGCGGGACGGAACTGAGGGCAGAGATGTGGCGAGAGTTGGTGTTTATGTGTGTTTTAGAGAAAGTGAGAGTAGTGTATACACACCTTTGGTTTGTGTGTACTCCCCTTGGCTCGGTTGACTGTAGGGGTCTGGTTGAAGATTTGAAGAAATGAGGAGGGAGAAGGACAGGAGCAAAACCTGGACATAAAGCAAGAGAGCAGGCCAAAACAGAAGACAGAGGGAAATTACAGGATGCAAAGGGAAAACAAAAATTGATAGTTGTTTAAATAGATTTACAACGTATTAGGCATAACCTATATAACATTTTGTCTAAAAGATAATACGGTATATATCTTTACTTGTATCTTACTATTTAGTTTTTGCAGATTATGCCACCAGAGCAAATAGTCAGTGGTATAAACTAATGTAATGTTGAGTAATATATCTCACCAGGATGCAGGTCCCTCTGTGTGTTTTGCCGGAGCCGTTAGGAACGAGAGCTTGCAGGCGGCTGAGCTGCTCCAGCAGATCACTGCAATGCAAATACACACAGGAAGAAGATTGAGACTTTGTACAAGTTTCCCGCTAGGGGACACAGGTTTCTTTTGAAAAATAGGCAAGGCAAGGCAAGTTTATTTATATAGCACCTTTCAACACAAGGCAATTCTAAGTGCTTTACAAAAATGAAAGACATTAAGAGCATGAAGAAACATATTATGAAATGACATTTAAAAACACTCATTTAAAAGCAAAGGTATGAATAAAAGTTAGAGTGCAGTGTGAGATACACACATCTGAAATGTTTAGGTCTGACTCTCAATCATTGCAGCAATAGTTTT